CCACCACCACCACCACCACCACCACCACCACAACCACAACCAGCACCAGCACCAGTACCAACACCACCACCACCAGCACCACCACCACCACAACCAGCACCACCACCACCACCATCACCACCACCACCACCACCACTACCACCACCACCACCACCACCAAGACAACCACGCACACACGCACGCACGCACGCACGTGCACCACCACCCACTACGCACGCGCGCGCGGAGCCACAGGTCCGCTACGACACGCGTCCGCGGATGGAGAAAATCAGCGCCATGGTAAGGGATGGGAGGGAGGGGTAGGACGTCATATATGACGCGAGCGCACCTAGCTTGCCATTATCCTCTCCGTCTCTTGCCGCTGGTCTTCTTCCTCCTTCCCCTGCCCCTAACCCTCCTCATCTCCTGCCCGGAAGGGAGGGCATGGGGTAGGACCAGGCTGGGAGGAGGAGGGGGGGAAGGAGTACAAGCAGGAGCAGCAGCAGGACGAAGATAAGCCCAGACATTCGATACCTTGTTTTTGTTCACTGCGGGGTCCAAGGAAGTCCCCCCAGGACTGGCTTGTTTTCCAGACTCGTGTTTGACGGTCCCAAGGCTTCCAGAGACCTGAGACGGCAGCAAAAACATGTCTTGTTTGTTCTAGAAGCGAGCATGTTATTTTCCAGTAGCGTCCCCGGGCCTTCCACATGCCCTCGTCCTCCAGGAAGCCGCTAAGCCAGGAGGGCAGCGAGCGGCACCCGGTGGTGCGCACGATGAGCACGGAGTCCCAGCACGCGAGCTGGATGAGGGCGACGGAGGGGAGCCAGAAAAAGCGCGCCCGGGAACCCGTCGCTCCTGGTTCCTGCTTCCTTGTCCTCCCTCCAGCCTCCCCCGCTCCGTGACTTTCTCCATCCCTCCCGCCTCCCACCTCCTCGCCCCTCGTTCTTCGCGACCCTCCCCGAGTAATATGTCCTCGCTCCTCGCTCTACCACCCTCCTTCGCTCATCTGTGATTTCTCTCTCTCTCTCTCTCTCCTTTCGTGTGTTTCTGTCTCTCTCTCTCTCTCTCTCTCTACGTGTGTATATATATATCCCTCTCTCTCCATCTCTTTCTCTCTCCTCCCTCCATCCTTCCGTCCTCCCATCCCTCCATACCTTCATCGCTCCTTCCTCCTCCTGCTGCTGGAAAGATCTGGGGTCTCCACGGGACGCAGCCTGCGCCTCTGCCTCATCCTCCGCCTCCTCCTCCTCCGCCTCCACCTCCTCCTCCGTCTACTCCTCCTCCTCCTCCTCCTCCTCCTCCTCCTCCTCCTCCTTCCTCATCCTGCTGCTCAAGGCTCCAGGGTCTTTCGGGGACGCAGCCTGCATCTCCTCCTCCTCCTCCTCGCCCACTCGCGCCCCCCCGCGAGGGAGCGCGGGAGAAGAGGACGGATGGCTTATGGAAGTGAGGAGGAGGAAGACGAGGAGGAACAGGAGAAAGAGAGGAAGAGGAGGAGGAGGAGGAGGACTGAGGACTGAGGACTGAGGACTGAGGACTAAGGACGAGGAGGAGGGGGAGGAGGAGGAGGTAGAGGAGGAGAAGGCGAGAGACATCCATACAGGAAAGACATACTTGAGCAGGGACCGACCGTCCCGGCATTCCTACAGTCCTACCACGAAATGTTCTTAGAACCCAAACATGTTCTAATAACAAAACAATGTTCTTAGAACATAAGCCCGATGTTATAAAACAAGACAGGCTCCGCCAGAAATGTTCTAAGAACAGTTCGTGGAAACCACAAAAGGTTCTTAGAACATTGTTTGGTAGGGCTATAGGCGAACCAGGACGCTTCGCCACTGCTTGACATACGATACGAAGCCTTGCTACAAGACATCTAGGGGCAAATCCGTCGTCGGCTCCAGGCTTTGCAAGGATGCCCCAGGGATTCGCCGGCCTATCAAGCGATAAGAAATTTGAACGGTAGAGGAAAAACAGGAACCGCGTGGACAGAACTTCCCTGAGGCCCGCGCGGGTTTCTTGGATCGGCGCCAGGGGTGGAGCCGGAGGCGCCGGACCTCCGAGAAATTATGCTTATGCCGTGTTGTGTTATTCGGAGCACCCGTTGGAAAGCCGGCCTCCTGCTTGGTGCGCCGACTGAGGGCCACTTTGGATCCATGGCCGCTGTGCCCTCGGCCCCGCCGCCCTGCGGCAGCTCCGAGGCGGGGAGTCGTCCACATCCATCATCTGGAGACCAGTGTCCTGGGACCCGAGGGGACTAGGACAGAAGTATATTTGGGTCCCACGGGGCCTGAATATGTACATATCCACCGCCTGCCGAGGTCCCCGAGGATCGATCTCGCAGGCGGCGGTTGTGGATAACTCTCCGCCTCGGAATCGAAAGCGGAGTCGGGATAATATCGAATCGGCCGCGCCAGGATGCACCACGGCGCCTCGCGAGAGTCGGGCCGCGTCGAGTTGCCGCGATACAGGAACCAAATCCAATTAAGCTCTGGCCGGTACCGATGTCGAGCCGGATCGATCGGACCGAAGTTGACCCTGATAGGAAGGAGGAAGGAGGATGAGAGAGGTATGTCTTCTTCGCTACCCCCTCCTCTTCGTCATCATCCCTTCTGCTCGCTTCAGGCAACCTGTGTGGCTCCCCTGGATGGGATGGTCGTCTCCGGGTCTCCTGTCAGGCTTCCACTCGAAGTCAAGACCTTGGCTCGGAGGAGGGCGAGAGGGAATATAAGGAGGAGAAGGAGGAAGACGAGGATTAGAGGGCCAGCGGAGGAGGACGAGGAGGACGAGGAGGAGATCGATTAGTAGGAGGAGGAGGAGGAGGAGGAGGAGGAGAAGAGAAGAGAAGAGAAGAGAAGAGACGGGGCCTACAGGCCCCCCCGCGAACCGCTACCGCAGGCTGCCACGCCGCCTGCCACATCTTCCCTCTCTCTTTATCCATTCTCCTGAGGTTATGTTTTGATGGTTGTATGTTTCTCCCCTTCCCTCCTCCTTCCGCCATGTCTGCCGTCCTACGTTTACATCATGTTCTCCACAGCTGGTGGCAACCGCCACCAAGCTGTTCAGTTTGATCAGCCCCCCAGGGCCGACCGGCCCTGGAAGGGGGGAGGGCGGGAGTCTACGACTCCTCACGCCATCAGGAGCCAGGAACCAGGAGAGGAGGAAGAGGAGCACCAGGAGGAGAAAAGTTCGAGGGGGTGGAAATGTTGAACACAGGATTCCGCGCAGGGCGTTCTACTAGGTTCCAGCGGTTTCTCAGGGGTCCCACGCAAGGAGGGGAAGATAGGTTTGCGCATGCCTGGACTTGAGTGCGGCCGACCAGGACTATAAGGAAGAACAGAAAGGATGAGGAGGACGAGGGGCCGACGGAGTAGTTATAAGAAAGAGAATTGGGGGAGGAGGGAGCATGAGGACGGATCAACTATCTGCGCTCCCTGCAAAAACCGTGGGAGTCGGAGGACAGATAGATTACTTGCGCTCCCTGCAAATCGTGGGAGTCGAGACCAGTCAAGACCTGGCAAATTGGGGACCACACTGCGTCAGCGCGGAACAAGAAAACATCCGTGGGCATACGTTCCTCCTCCTCCTCCTCCTCCGCCGCACCCTCCTCATCTTCCTCCGCCTGCTGAGTAGCTCACTGGGGCCCTTCGACTCCCCCCTGCCCTCTTCCTCCTCCTCACCCTTGTCCTCCTACTCCTCCGCCTCCTCCGCACCCTCTTCCTCTTCCTCCGCCTCGGCGCCGTGGAACCCGCGACACTCACTTGAGCGTGTCGCCCGTGAACATCCTGATATCGCTGTCGAGGTCCGGGCTCACGGGAGCATCCGGGATGGAGCCGTCCTCCAGCTCCGTCATGAAGTCCGCACCCACGGTGTCCTCGTTGTCGAACTCGCCCAGCATGGTGCCGCTCCGCGTGCCCTTCTGCTCGACGCAGAGGCACCCGGCGGTGATCTCGCAGAGCTCCTGGGTGATGGCGGCCTGGCGCTTCTTGTTGTAGAGGATGGTGAGCCTCTCCCCGAGGTCTTTCGCGTGCGTTTGTCGTTGGGGGCCGCTTCATCCGAGGTCATGCGGGATCGAGCTCGGAAAGCCTGGGCGGTCGAACAGCATGGAGAGGCAGTGCGAGTTCACGGGGTACAGCGGCAGCATGGAGTTCAGATGACCTTCCGGGGGCTGGTCGAAGATCACGTCAGACTCGATCTCCTTGGCATCCACCTTCTTCACCTTCTCCTTCTTCACGGACAATTTGCCGTCCTCGGAGGTAAGGGCGAAGGTCTCGTCGTCAGGATCCTCGATACCAGTGGGGCTCAGCGGCAGCACGGTGCGGACCTGAGGTTCGTTCAACAGCAGGTTAATGAACTTGGCGTAGATAACCTCCACCTTGTCCACCTCTCCCGACAGGAAGAGGTTCCTGAGCTCGTCGCCAATTTCAGCGATCGCGGAAGACGTAATGGAGTCAGGCATTCTGATGAAAGTCCCGGTGTAGTTCAGCTTCACCTCCTTCAGCTTGGTGTTCAGACCAGACAAAGCCTTTTTGCCGACGATGATCATCTTCGGCACGATGCCCTCCTTGTTCAGGTCCTCAATGCGAGCAGCCGCCTTCTTCATGATCCTTGCGTTGTAGCCGCCGCAGAGGCCGCGATCGGAGGTGATGAGAACGATGCCGACGTTGCTGACCTTCTCGGGCACGCGCAGCATCGGCAGCTCCGACTCCAGGCCGCTGCCCTTCAGCTTCTTGACCTGAGGATCAGAAATGGCGAGTGCACCTTCTCTTGCACCCCACCCCAGGGCAGCAGGGAGCAGGGGACAAGGGGAGGGGGGAGGGGCAGGCGGCTGCAAGAGAAGAGGGCGTGGGAAGTGCAATTGCTCGCTCTCCGTGACCAGGCCCTTGATCATGGAGGACAGCTCGTCGCTGAACGGCCTGGCCTTCTCCACGCCGGCTTGCGCGCGGCGCACCTTGGCGGCGGCGACGAGGCGCATGGCCTCCGTGAGCTTGCCCGTCTTCGCAACGGACGCGATGCGCTCCTTGTGATGAGAACGATGCCGACGTTGCTGACCTTCTCGGGCACGCGCAGCATCGGCAGCTCCGACTCCAGGCCGCTGCCCTTCAGCTTCTTGACCTGAGGATCAGAAATGGCGAGTGCACCTTCTCTTGCACCCCACCCCAGGGCAGCAGGGAGCAGGGGACAAGGGGAGGGGGGAGGGGCAGGCGGCTGCAAGAGAAGAGGGCGTGGGAAGTGCAATTGCTCGCTCTCCGTGACCAGGCCCTTGATCATGGAGGACAGCTCGTCGCTGAACGGCCTGGCCTTCTCCACGCCGGCTTGCGCGCGGCGCACCTTGGCGGCGGCGACGAGGCGCATGGCCTCCGTGAGCTTGCCCGTCTTCGCAACGGACGCGATGCGCTCCTTCATCGCCTTGTCGACGGCGTTGGCCTGCACGATCGGTCTGCGGCCCGCCTGGGCGGCGGTGCTGCCGACAAAGCCCGTCATGCCGCGGAGGTGCCAGAGCGAGGCCAGCAGCAGGCAGCCCGAAAAGGCGATCGCGGCGGATCCTCTGCGAGCCATTGTCGCCGCGCAGTCGAGCGACGACCTGTGCGGTCGCAGCGGGGGCGCGGGAGGCAGAATGGCTCGACTCGGAGCAGCCCGATTATCCTGAGCCAAGATGGCTGTGGACATGGACAAGGAGGCTGGAGAAGGAGAAGGGGGAGAAAGAGGAGAAGGGAGGAGAGATGATGGAAGGAAAGGGAGATGAGGACGAGGAGCCGAAGGAGAAGCCAGACGACAATGGAAGGCGGAGGAAAGAGCAGTGGACAAGATAGGTCCGGTTACGCTCCCTGCAAAAACCGTGGGAGTCGAGAGCAGCCCATCGCGGGCTGCGCGTGGACTGCACTGCGTCAGCGCGGAGCGAGAAAACATGCGTGCGCGCACGTCCCTCCTCCCCCTCCTCCTCCTACTCCTCCTCCTCCTCCTCCTCCTCCTCCTCCCCCTCCTCCTCCTCCTTCTCCTCCTCCTCCTCCTACTCCTCCTCCCCCTCCTCCCCCTCCTCCTCCTCCCCTCCTCCTCCTCCTCCTCCCCCTCCTCCCTCCTCCTCCCCCCTCCTCCTCCTCCCTCCTCCTCCCTCCTCCTCCTCCTCCTCCCCCTCCGCATCCCCCTCCTGTGGTAGCCGCACTCTGGAGTCCGCCTGCTGAGTAGCTCACTGGGGCCCTTCGACTCCCCCCTGCCCTCTTCCTCCTCCTCACCCTTGTCCTCCTACTCCTCCGCCTCCTCCGCACCCTCTTCCTCTTCCTCCGCCTCGGCGCCGTGGAACCCGCGACACTCACTTGAGCGTGTCGCCCGTGAACATCCTGATATCGCTGTCGAGGTCCGGGCTCACGGGAGCATCCGGGATGGAGCCGTCCTCCAGCTCCGTCATGAAGTCCGCGCCCACGGTGTCCTCGTTGTCGAACTCGCCCAGCATGGTGCCGCTCCGCGTGCCCTTCTGCTCGACGCAGAGGCACCCGGCGGTGATCTCGCAGAGCTCCTGGGTGATGGCGGCCTGGCGCTTCTTGTTGTAGAGGATGGTGAGCCTCTCCCCGAGGTCTTTCGCGTTGTCTGTGGCCGCCTTCATCGCGGTCATGCGGGATCCGAGCTCGGAAGCCTGGGCGTCGAACAGCATGGAGAGCAGCTGCGAGTTCAGGTACAGCGGCAGCATGGAGTTCAGGATGACCTCCGGGGGCTGGTCGAAGATCACGTCGGACTCGATCTCCTTGGCATCCACCTTCTTCACCTTCTCCTTCTTCACGGACAGCTTGCCGTCCTCGGAGGTGAGGGCAAAGGTCTCGTCGTCGGGATCCTCGATGCCAGTGGGGCTCAGCGGCAGCACGGTGCGGACCTGCGGCTCGTTCAACAGCAGGTTGATGAACTTGGCGTAGATGACCTCCACCTTGTCCACCTCTCCCGACAGGAAGAGGTTCCTGAGCTCGTCGCCAATTTCAGCGATCGCGGCGGACGTGATGGAGTCAGGCATTCTGATGAACGTCCCGGTGTAGTTCAGCTTCACCTCTTTCAGCTTGGTGTTCAGACCAGACAAAGCCTTTTTGCCGACAATGATCATCTTCGGCACGATACCCTCCTTGTTCAAGTCCTCAATGCGAGCAGCCGCCTTCTTCATGATCCGTGCGTTGTAGCCGCCGCAGAGGCCGCGGTCGGAGGTGATGAGAACGATGCCGACGTTGCTGACCTTCTCGGGCACGCGCAGCATCGGCAGCTCCGACTCCAGGCCGCTGCCCTTCAGCTTCTTGACCTGAGGATCAGAAATGGCGAGTGCACCTTCTCTTGCACCCCACCCCAGGGCAGCAGGGAGCAGGGGACAAGGGGAGGGGGGAGGGGCAGGCGGCTGCAAGAGAAGAGGGCGTGGGAAGTGCAATTGCTCGCTCTCCGTGACCAGGCCCTTGATCATGGAGGACAGCTCGTCGCTGAACGGCCTGGCCTTCTCCACGCCGGCTTGCGCGCGGCGCACCTTGGCGGCGGCGACGAGGCGCATGGCCTCCGTGAGCTTGCCCGTCTTCGCAACGGACGCGATGCGCTCCTTCATCGCCTTGTCGACGGCGTTGGCCTGCACGATCGGTCTGCGGCCCGCCTGGGCGGCGGTGCTGCCGACAAAGCCCGTCATGCCGCGGAGGTGCCAGAGCGAGGCCAGCAGCAGGCAGCCCGAAAAGGCGATCGCGGCGGATCCTCTGCGAGCCATTGTCGCCGCGCAGTCGAGCGACGACCTGTGCGGTCGCAGCGGGGGCGCGGGAGGCAGAATGGCTCGACTCGGAGCAGCCCGATTATCCTGAGCCAAGATGGCTGTGGACATGGACAAGGAGGCTGGAGAAGGAGAAGGGGGAGAAAGAGGAGAAGGGCACAGACGTGGACGAGTAGAAGAAGAAACGAAAGAAAAAGAGGAATGGGGAGCGGGAAGGCGGCGGGGGTGAAAGAGGACAAATAGAAGAAAGAGGATAATCCGCCGGCCCCTTTGCGGGGCCATGGGGCTGCGAGGATAGGGGTTGCAGTACCCTGCGCCAGTTCCAATTTCCAGTCTCCAATGTTACGTGGACCAGTTTCGGTTTCCAGTCTGCGCAATTTATTACTGTCCGCGCGAGGGGGGAGCCGAAAACCACTCTGGCTACCACCCCCCCAGGAGGGTTCTCAGACTTTCCTGCGGATTGTGGGACACGTAAAATCATGGCCATCCAACCCAGAAACCCTCGCGAATTGCAGTAGACTCGCGCTGCCGAAGCCGCAACCCCTTGCAAATTGCGCCATACTTGCGCTGCCGAAGCCAGAATGCCTGGCTAATTGCACAATACTCGTGCTGCCGAAGCCAAAATCCTTCGCGAAATGCGGTCGACTCCTGCTGCGGAGGCAGCAATTCCTTGCAGATGGCACCAAAGCCGCGCTGCCAGCGCGCTGCCAGAGCCAGTCCCTCGCAAATTGAGCTGTAATCGCGCTGCCGAGGCAACGATCCTGGACAAATTGCGCCACACACGCGCTGCCGAGGCCACAATCCCTGGCAAATTGGACCGTGTTCGCGCTGCCAAGGCCGCAATCCTTAGCAAATTGCGCGATATTTCTCGCTGCCGAGGCCACATCTCCTTGCAAATTGCACCGTATTCACGCGGCCGAAGCGAGAATCCCATGCAAATTGCGCTGCATTCGCGCTGCGGAGGCAACAATCCCTTGCAAATTGCGCGATATTCGCGCTGCCGAGGCTAAAATCAGTTGCAAATTGCACCGGATCCGCGCTGCCGAGGCCACATTACCTTGCAAATTGGGATACGTTCGCGCTGCCGAGGCAACAGTCCTTTGCAAATTATTGCGCCGTGTTCGCGCTGCCGAGGCCACAATCCCTCGCGATGTGCGCCATATTCGCGCTGCCGAGGCCACACCACATTGCACCAGACTCGCGCCACCGAGGCCATAATCCATAGCAGATTGCACTATACTTGCGCAGCCGAAGCCACAATCCATTGCAAAATACTTGCGCTGCCATGGCCACAATCCCTGCCAACTTGCACCATATTCGCGTTCTGGAGGCCACGATCGCTTGTAAATTACGTTGTGTTCGCGTCTCCGAGGCCACGAGCCCTTGAAAAGTATGCAATGGTCGCGTCCCCGAGGCCACGATCGCTCGAAAAAATACGGCTTGTTCGCGTCCCCGAAGCCACGTTCCCTCTTAACATACGCCGAGGAACCCCAAGACCGTTCAAGCCGCGCGGTCTTGCCCGACGTAGCCTCATGTAGCCCACGGTCGTTCCAAGTGGGCAACTGAGACACAGCATGAGGGGAAGTTCGCCAAAGGCAACACAGAGTTCAACGCTATCATCTGAATATCACTTGTTCTTGAAGATTACCTATAGTCCTCGCACGAGGTTTCGATACTGCTTCACGACGGCGCCCATGCATCCATACATGGCTCCTGCATATTCTTATGATGGAGAGAGGGCCGGCTGCAGAGGGCGAAGCCCTTACGGATCCGGCCGCGCCGTGCGAGACCACTCTGGCAAAGTGCCTGGTAGGATTCGCCTGGGCCTAGTGAAAATCTCCCTGCAGTCCCTCCTGTGGGCCTCCACTCTGTCGGCGGTCCCTCGGAGACCCCTCCGACGCGAAGGTTTCAAGAAATCCCAAGGGCTCCAAGACGACCCCAAAGAGCCCCAAGACGGCCCCCAAAAGGGTCCAAGAAGGCTCCACGTCGCCAACAGACCGCCCCAAGACGCCAAGATGGCCTTGAGACGGTCCACGAGGCCCCCAAGACGCCCCAACAGGTCTTCAAGAGGCCTTCCAAGAAGGCCCTGAAAGGCAAACATCGTCTCATTCCGATGGGAAACGTATACTTTTAGCATTTGCGACTTTGGGATTCTGAGCGTCCACGACGAGCTTACCCAAGATCGCTCCAAGATCGCCACAGAGAACCCGAAAAGGGCCCCAAGACGTGCCAAAACGGCCCCAGGACGGCCCAAGACGCGCCGAAGACGGCCTATGACGGCCTTAAGAGGGCCCTAGAGCCAGAACTCGAAATTATATTTCCAGCTTTCTGCTCAAACGGGACCTCCCAGACCGCCAGCAGGCCTCCAAGAAGCCCCCCAAGAGGCCCAACAGGGGCCCCTAGTGGCCCCCAAACGGCGCCCACGAACCCCCAAAGAGGCTTCAAAACTGCCTCCAAGAGACCACCGACCAGACGCGTCAAGCTCCCAGGGAGCGACTGGTGATGCGCCGCCGGCGTTCTCGATAAAGAGGAGAGCCAAGAGAAATAGGATGATCAGGCGGAGCAGAGGGCGCAACGAAACGAACCAACCGAACGCCGGAGTCGTGCGCGCCCCTCTGGCGGGCTCACCTGTGCCCATGAGGACTCACGTCGCAACCACCAGTCAGTGCTACAGGAGGCAGATAACCATGGCAAGTGGCTTTGGCTGTTGTGTTGGCGTTGTCGTGGCTCGGTCGCTGCCCGAAAATGATCATGCCCTGCGTCGGCGTCGCAGCAGTGCCCGTCCAAGCTGTGGAGAAACTCCCAGACGTCGTCGTCCCATCTTTTGTGGTTGCCCTCCATGCCGAGTGTTGATATGAAGGCCCCAACTAAGCACTCTCTGCGTCCAGCGTGTAGGGGGGGGGCCACAGTATTCGCCCATCGCCAAACCATTATGCGGTGTGTGTGTCTGGAGTACATCAAGAATGCCAAGTTGAAACATCAATGTGTCTGCACTCCGCGTGCTCCTGTGAATTCAATCGGAGAACAACTCGACGTCCTCGTCGTGCGCAATGCCCGGTTACGCGCCCCGTCGTCGTTGTTGTCGTCGTACTGCGCTTTGGACTGTTGGCTATGTGGGTTGCTGCAAACGTCGGATTCGCTTGAGTCGTTTTGGGGAACTGGAGCAGCGGTCAAGTTAGGAGCCAGGTCA